TCACTGCATCTCGGAATCCCAGCTCTCCACAGTTACGTTGCCTCGTTGCTGCACCACGCTACAAGCCCAGGCTGCCTCTCTCCATCGTCACGTTCGAGTTTTGGCTGGTCCTCCGGTAGCTTGCCGCCCGGGTTCCCGCTGGGCAGGCACATGGGCTGGTGTGCTTACTATGTCCGATCTACCGTCTCAGGAACTGAAGTTGCCTTGGAGGTCGGGAGAATTGGAATCTGGCCGCCTTCAGGCATCCATCCACTACCTTGGTCATGTTCGGCTGCAAGTGTTGAACAGCTACGGCTTTTGTAGGGGGCCAACCTGGCCCCAGGCCAAGGAGCTCACGGAGCGGCTTCTGCAGACTGCTACGCAACACCTTGTTATCGGTGGCTTTGGACCTCGGATTATTTGCGGAGATTTCAATTTCTCGGACGGTGAGCTGGACGCCTTCGAGGTTTGGAAGCATTATGGCTGGGTCTCCGCCCAAACATTTGCTGCCTTTCACTGGGGCCATCAGGTTTTGCCGACCTGTAAGGGCACCACGGAGAGGGACTTCCTTTGGTTGAGCCCCGAAGCGCAGCACCTCTGCCGTCAGGTTCACGTCTTTGACATTTTCCAGGAGCACAGTACGGTGGCTGCGGATCTTTCCTTGGATGTCCCTTTGAGTCAGGTCTATCAATGGCCACTTCCTGCACTCATTCCTTGGACGGAGGTGCAACTTGATGCTTGGCAAGGCTCTGCTACGTTCTCCACGTTGGAGGGAACTACGACGGAGTGCTACTCTCAGGTTGGCCGGGCACTGGAAACTAGCCTGGTGGGGCACATTCCTACACAGCCGGGACATCGTTTGCTTCCTACCCAGGTTGGACGCTGTCAGCGCCTTGCGCCCACCCGGACTCGGGAACAAGCTAAGTTCTGTCGGGCTAGTAGAGCTGGCGAAGTTGAACTCCGATGTGACCTTACTACACGGGCTGTCCGCCTTTGGTTCAAACAGTTACGGAGACTTCAGAGCCTTAGGCATTCACTGCGTGCTGGGGCTCAGCATTGGGAAGCTCAGCTGCATCGATGTGAACTCTGGAGTGCGATTCTCCATGCTCGGGGCTTTGATGGTGGTTTTCGTACTTTCTGGAGCATGGGCTACTCGGATGGCCGTCCGCATGTTCCTGAGCAGTTGCCTGAAGGTCTTCCCTCATCGGCTCAGCTTGAGCAGATCTACGAGACCTTTCGAGCTCGTTTTGAGGCCTTGGAGTCTTGGCACATTCGACAGCGGTGCCGACTTTTGAAGCAGAAGCACGATGCCACTATGGCCGGCCTGTTTGGTGAGCTCAAGCGTGCACCAAAGGCCAAACCTGATCTCCTGTGGTTCGACCACTACTACACCATCCTCGGCTATGAGCAAGACACATGCTCTTTGCATCTGGACCGACCCCTCGATCTCACCGGTCGCTCTACCTGGACTTTGAATGGGACTCCCCTTTCGGTCTTGGAAGCAGACCAGGACACCTGCATTGTCAGCCATCTTCCGTCGCTCCTGCCGGGAGATGAACTTCATCAACATCAAGTCCTTACCCAGCTCGAGGAGGTGCATGATGCTTTTGTCCAATTTTGGCAACCTCGTTGGAATGCTTACAAAGACATTTCTGACTCCGATTGGGCGCGCATTACCACGTTTGCACGGGCACATATGCGTCCTTTGCACTTGGAGCTCCCTCCTTTGGCTCCTGACCAATGGCACCGTACCCTGGCTCGTTACAAACCAACAGCTGCTCGGGGCGTTGACGGGATTTCGCACTTGGACCTCATCAACATGCCACAACCTCTTGAAACCGAGCTGCTGGCTATCCTTGACAGGGTCGAGACAGGCGAGGCATGGCCGCAACAAGCTTGTTTTGGCGTGGTTCAGGCCTTGGCAAAAGTTGATGGAGCCCACGAAGTCTCTGCATTTCGACCGGTGGTCGTGCTTAGTCTCCTTTACAGGACCTGGAGCTCTTTGCGCAGTCGGCAACTTCTTTCTCAGCTGGTTCCCGTCATCCCTGAAGGGCAGGTCGGCTTTATTCCAGGCCAAGAAGCCATGAACGTTTGGGCGCTTTGGATGGCGATGATCGACCTTTGCTGCCAGGGCGGATCTACCTTATGTGGACTCAGTGCAGATTTGGTTCGCGCCTTCAACTGCATTCCTCGCGCGCCCTTATTTTGGTTGGCTTCCTTCTTAGGCATCCCGGAACGGGTGGTTCATCCTTGGCGCAACTTTGTGGAGGACTTCTCGCGCTCCTTCATGATCCGTGGAACACTTAGTGAAGCTGTTACCAGCTCGGTTGGTTTTCCAGAGGGCTGCGCGCTCTCCGTGCTTGGGATGTGCCTACTGGACCTGATGTGGCACAGCTATGCTGAAGTTCTTTGCCCTGGCTTGCGGATCTTCTCCTACGTGGACAACCTGGGTCTCACTGCCAGAGATGCTGGACACCTAGCACTGGGTTTTGCTACCATGCAGGCCTTCTTCACGCTATAGCACATGGAGATTGACTTGGATAAGTCCTACTGCTGGGGAGTTGATATCCTCTCGCGTCGGGCCTTAGCTGCTTTCCCCGTGAAATGTGTACAACACAGCAATGAACTTGGAGGCTCTCTCTCTTTTGGTTCAAAGCCTCGAGTGGTGGACTTCCATGCCCGCATGTCCAAGCTGCGCAGCAAGTGGATGTCGCTCGCACGCTCTACGGCCTCGCTTCACCAGAAGTTGGTGGCCTTGATGGTTTCCTTCTGGCCGGAAGGGTTACATGGGGCTTTGGCCTGTCGTTTTGCGCTTTCGCATCTGGATGGACTACGGAGGAAAGCTGCTGCAGCACTTGGTTGGAAGCTGGCTGGTTCCTCGCCGGCCATGCGCTTTCTTCTTTGTTCGCTACCCGGAGCTGATCCTCTTCTCTGGCATCACAAAACAGTGCTCCAGGGCTTTCGTAGGATGTGTCTTGGCTCCGTGGATTTTGCTGCGCAGTGGCAATTGTTCTGGGATCACTATGACGGATCGCTTCATTCAGGGCCTTATTCCAAATTGGTCGATTTGTTTTCCCACTTGGGTTGGAGCTTTGAGACTGCACAGTGCTTCAGGGATCATCGTGGTCGGCTTTGGCACCTTCTGCATACGCCCTGGCCACTTATGGAGTTCCTTCTGTGGGATGCTTGGGCCAAGTTGGTTGCTACACAATTTCGCCTTCGGAAGACGGCTTCGGATCTCGGGGATCTAGACCCTTGGATACATGGGGCATTTGCGGCTTCATTGGGGGCGTTAGACCGCGCTCGGCTGTCAGCCCTGCAGGGTGGATGCTTCATTTCTGCATCGCAGCATGCACGCTACGATGCTAGTCAGGACCGATGGTGCTCCACTTGTGGTGTCTTGGATACGGTGGATCACTGGTTTAGCTGCCCCAGATTTTCTGATTTGAGGGTTGATTTAGATGGTCATCATGAATCCCCCGGTGCTTGGCCACAATGTTTTCGAAACCACCTTCTCCTTTCACGGGCTGGACTTGTGGATGAACTGGACTGCTACTTTTTGCAGCTGGATCCTCGGGTGGATGATTTCGCCCTTCGGCCTACCGATAAAGTACATCATGTTTTTACTGACGGGACTGCCATGAAGTACAAACGGTCACGTTTGAAACATGCTGCGTGGGCCGTGGTTGACTCCACCTCGGGCCGCATGGTGTCGGGCGGCCCTCTGTCCGGGCTGCATCAGAGCATCAGCCGGGCCGAGCTGACAGCGGCCCTCAGTGCCACCGTCTGGGGCAATGCAGGCGACCTTAGTGAACTTCATATCTGGAGCGATTCGCAATATGTGGTAGCCGGTGCCTGTTTCATGTTGTTGCATGGCACGGTGCCGGCCTCATGGGCCCACCAAGACCTATGGCGCTCTTTGCTGCAAGAACAAGAGCTCTACTCGGCCGGCACCCTTTTCTACCACTGGGTGCCGTCGCATTTGGATGCCAGCCTTTGTTGTACCCCGTTCGAATGTTGGGTGGCGCGCTGGAACTCGGTTGCTGATAAGAATGCGGGTTTCTTCGACAGCAACAGAGGACACAGTGCCAATGACTTGTTTGAGCGGGTTCGTTCGTTCGACTCCTCTTGGTGGGAGAGGCTGGATCATACCTTTCGTTTCTTGGTTGCAGCGGGCGAGCGCCGTCAGCAAGATGAGCCAGTCGTGACTGTCCTTTCTAGTGAGCCGGAGGACTTCGAGGATGTCACGTTGTGCTCGCTGCTGCGTGAGGGCGGTGTTAGGGCCATGGAGACACTTTCCTCCATTTTTTTGCATGATTTGCAGAGTTGGGTTTTACAACATTGTATAGCTAGTTGCCAACCTCGTGTGTATAGCTTTTTGGAGCTGGTGTTTATTATGGCCTTTTTAGCTCCGGTTCGTTTTCCCTTTTCTGCGGGGCATGATGGTATCAGACACGAGTTTGTGCAGTCTCTTTTTACTCGTCCAACCATCTCCCAACTTTTGGCCTCTTTGAAGGGAGCACTCACGGAACTGTGTCAGTTTTTGGGGGTGGAGGTCATTCCTCTTGACGGTAGGAGGATGATTGATCTTGGTGTGTTTGTTCCGTGCCTTGGCATTCGGCTACAGTTGCCGGATGTGCTCCGTGTTCGCTGTCACACAGCGCTTCGCTCCTGGACATCGTCACGCCCGATCAGGCGCAAGGCCGACCTGGCTCGGCCTTTTTGTTGTTAGTTTTGGACGGACCTTGACCTGCGAGCCGCTCTGCTGCTGCTGAGCGCTCGCGCTTGCCCGCCCGAGATATATAAATCCTTCTGGTGGTCGGGAACGGTTTGGATGTTTCATGGGTCGCCGGGCGTCAACAAACTGGGGGGCTCTGGGTTTCTTACACCGGAGCAAGGTGATCTTCATGCGTTTCAAGCACCATGGTGTGAACAAAGCAAGTACTCTCTCCCTCTACTACCCCAAGTAACCTCCCAACCAGGAGCTTCTCCATCTTACACTCAGCACACCGAAACCGCTCCTGCAGCCTCGAGGGCAAACACCGTAGAAAGTTGCGAAGCAAGGGGAGGCCTGGCCGCAACGGAGTTTCGACACAGGCGTCAGCATCGAGGCCACATCTCGTTCCACGGTTGATGAATATCGGATATGGGCCCAACCAATGAATAGGCTTCTTTAAATTAATAGCAAACATTGTTACTACTAGTAAGGCACCTGTTACTACTAGCGTGGCACTTGTTACTAGTAGCTTCTTTAATGATTCTTAGGAACACAACCAATTGAATATGAATAGGCCCACATCTATTCTGCATTGCTTGGGCCTATTCATATCTATTCAAGTCGCTGGAGATACCTGATAGAATCATCCGATAGACCTGATAGACTCATCGCGCGATCAACAAGGCTTGGTCCGAATGTATCACTGGTCCGACTTCCCAAAAATGGTTCCCAGCTAAACCATCAGTCTGAACTGATAGGATCACAAACTATTGAAATGACGGAACAGGACAGGACGAAGTTTGGAGTAGACCATGCATCTTCAACAACGACGATTTTGTAGAATAGAGCGAGGAGTCCTGCGACAAATATGTAGCAACATGTGATTTCCCAAGAAGATATTGGGGGTGGAGTCATGAGTGACAGCAATGGCCTTGACTTCTGCCCAGTCGAGATCATCTTAACCTCCTCCCCTAATCTATGACAAGTCTTTAGACAAATAAGTTTGACTATGGCTCAACTCACCTCGTTTGACTATAGGATTTAGACTCTCACCTTGCTCGTGCCGGCACTCCGCCAATCCACCAGTCTTTGGACTCAACCCCGGCCTCTGTCCGTCACGAGAAATCAAAAAAAAAGCCCCGAGTGGATTTGTGGCTTTACAACTAACTATTGTCTGGGGTTGCAAATCAACATATGCTGAGGTGATATGCAGCTGCAATTTCGCCATACACACCAAACGAAACACTTGGTCAACCAGGACCCCCCAAAAAAGCTGAGGAGATTCTGCCGCGAAATTGGTCCGATTTGTTCTTTCTTCCTTTGCTATCCTTTGCTTATATCTGTATGATTCTGTTTGTGTGTCTATTTTTGGTTCTCGGAAGCTTCTGCACTGAGGAGTGAAGGTCGCCACTTCAGTCACTTCACATCAATTCTGTGCCCCGTTCTCCGCCTTCTCCCGTGACGCTGGAGATGCAGAAGATGGGACACACCTGGCACAGTACACCGCGCCCGCCGGACCCCACTCGGTCAGGACGAAACCGGGTCCCCGGACCCGGTTTCGTCCTCTTGACATGGCTCTCAGCGCCGGAGCTCTCTCCCCGCCTCCTTCTGGTAGATGCCGCGCGCCGCGCCTTCCAGCTCCTCCGGCTCCTTGACCACCAGCGGCTGCCGCTTCACGGCATTGGACCTGTTTCGGGTGAGTGAGTCCTTCGGGTCGAGGGTGGAGGTGGGCAAGCCATGTCGGGCGGAAAACAAGGCGCCAACTGCAAAGAGGCAAGCATAAACATTGCAAATAGACTCAAATAGTATTGAAGTATTGTCCCTCATGTATGACTCTATGACTATCTAAAAAGAAAGATCTGCAATCAAGGAGTCGATTTTCCTCAGACCACCCTGACGTTGCCGCACCTCACAATCTTGTGGAGCTGCATGAGGTTCTCCTCATAGACGTTCCTGGAACGTGCGGCTTCGAGCTAGGTAGCCCTAAGTGGTGTGGACCAGCTCGGTTTGGAGGCGCCCGTGGCGGGTTTGGGGGGTGTCGAGATGGGTCTATCATGGTCTATCTCGTGGGTCCATCCTATTGACAAAAACATTCAAACACGTGAGGGAACTGGGAACCGATACTGGTATCCTGGTATCCGATACTGGGCCCACTGGTGCTGGTGAACCGTAGCGTCTCGAGCGACTGCTTTGCCCGTGGCAACCAAGAAGGCTGGGTAGATGAACGAGTGGCAAGGAAGGTTCATTTCCCAAGTCCCCCCACCTGTTTCAGTGCAGTTGTAAGATTGTTTAAAAGGTGTTGTCTTCATGTCAAGGGATTCTCACCAAAAACCAAAGATTTCGACCCACCAGAAATGCCTTTGCTTTGGCTTCACAGCTTCGGGTCTTTGCTATTATCCAAGGGCCACGGCCACCACCCAAATCCACCACAAAGCTGCTGCGGCCCAGATGCTGTGGCGCGATGTCGATCTTGGTGACGACGATAAAGAAGGGTATTCCTCACAGGACTGTGGGAGGGCGCTCTCTTCACAGATCGATCAAGCCAAGTGGGGGTGCAAAACGTTCCGCCACTTCTTCTCCAAGCTCGGACTGCAGCTCTAGCAACTCGGTCCACAGCTGGGACCAAAGCAATTAAAAGAACGGTACCTGAAATGGCAGGGCGGTCCGGTTCTTGGCCCCCTTCTTCCACTCTGGTGATTCCCACCCTCCTTCAACTCCAGGGAACTTTGATTGCCACATCCGTCCAGCACAAACCCCCCAACCAGAGGCCCTTGCCCGACAAGGCACCCTAAAAGGTGAAAAAATCCAACCCCCAAATTCTCATGCAGCTGCTCAAGCAGGTCATGTCCAGGCCACCTCCACATTCGACTGGGACCCCCGGCGCAAGGCCAGCGCAATGCCCAGGTGCTCCCGGGACATGCGCTGGAAGCCAGCGTTGGCGTTCACGATGATCATGGTATAGTCTGGGCCTCGGTGCCGACCGGGTCAAGAACGCCGACTTCGGTCCAGTCCGGTACTTGCAAGATCAAGACTTAGTAACAGCAAAGGTCATAAGGTTGAGTTGAAAAAGCTGGAAAGATTTCCAAACTGTGCCTCAATGCCCCTTGATGGACGAAAACAAACCTCAAGCTCCCTCCCATGCCGCGCATCCAGGCATCCGGGCACTGCCCCACCAGTCCGAAGATCGTGGTCTTCAGGTACTTCTCATGGCCACAGAGGTCACCTCGAAGGGCTGGAGCGGTCGCGCCCTTCGGAGCTGAATGCGGTCGGTCGTGGAGCGCAGGCCGTGAAGGGCGGCCGGGTATTGCTTGGTTCAGATCTTTGGGGTGAAACTCGTGTAGCACTTGCTGAACGAACAACCTCTCGTGCGACATGCAAAAGCACCGGAGTAGGGCCACAAAGGCCCTTGGTGCTCTCCAATCCAAAGAAACAACAAGCTTGCACCATTGGCGCCCCTTCTTCTGCCACGATTTTCGTGCGCACCCTGTCCGGACATCGGAGAACCCCGTCCAAGACGACGGCCCTACTCTGAACAGGTCGGTCGGTCACGCCCACAGCGGGGGGTCCTTCCACGCGCTCGGACTCTGGGACCCTCCGTGACCCATCCTTCGTCCCGACCGATCTCCGAGGCGCTGAAGGTGACCAGCCGCTCCGACTTCTCCATCACCTGGAGAAGCCGTGAAGCAGCGGAAGCGGCGGGGAGGAGGGAAGCTAAGCCCAAGTGAGAGAGTCTCACCTGCGCCGGGAAGGAAGCCCCCCGAAGTGGGAACCTTTAGGTCAAAGAGTAAGGGAGCTCTTAGATGGAGTTCCTCTGATAGTAGCTGGAAAAGTTGCGGATCAAGAGAGTTAGATGCGGCCAAGAGGGAAAAGAATAACTTTTCTTGCCTCCTCCTCCTCCAGCTGCAGTTCTGTCAAAGGAATCATTCTGCCCTACCTGTTGCCACACCTTTGCTAGTCCATCCCTGTTTGAAGTCGCTTTTGACTTTCATCACTCTGAGTGCTTGGAGGCGTTCGCACGTGCCATGAAATGGATGACTTCGAACGTTCGCTGCATCCTCACATTGGCGGTTCTTCTACACCTCCCTTTGACCAAGAACACCCGTGGCGGCTCCAAATTCCGCACGAGTCCACCTGCTGCCAGGTGGTGTTCCTCGAGTTGGCCGTGGTGTTGGCCATGCGCTCAATCAGCACCTCTCACTGTCTCACGCCGGCAGTCATCAGGTCAGGGTCTTGGTAGACAGATGGAACCCTCAGCGTGACGATGTTTGAAGACCAAATCTTTTGCATCCTGTAGTCAAATGGAAAGTCCGCCCTCTGCAGTCTAGCTCCACTAGGGCCAGTGCTACAACGTGTCCGTAAAAATATAGTCCACCCGACCAGTAAGTGCCCCTCAAATGGCCTAAAGAACAAAGACACTGAAAATCCACAGTGATGTGGCTGAAACTCTCTGGAGAGGGTTGGACGAACTTTCTCGACTGATTGTTGTGAAGAAAAGGGGTGCTTTATGAAGAGGTCAGGGCTGCCCAGAACATCCACTCACTTAGGGACTAAACACCACCCCCTTCGTCACAGTTGGTATTGGACTGTCGGCTCTGGACGCCACGGATTGGCACCCGTGGATCTCGGAGGTTTGTGCGCTTGTAGCCTGCCTGATCGCCACCGGAATTGAAGCCCATAATCTCCTGAGGACAGCTCGCCCAGCTCCAGTCGTGGAACAAGGACACGGAACCGCTGCCCAAAAGCCAGCGAGGACAGGCTTTGCTTTACGAAACGTCCAACGGTTCAACAGCGGAAAGTGGTGTCCCCCTCGGGGTGGTCTTCACTTCAGGCTTTCACGGCTTCTGGACGCCAAGTGCTCAGAACTGGCTCCTTTTTCGGTTCTTGGGGGATCTGAAAAGCACCCGTTCTTTGTTGGCATCTTGGAGACTGGACTTTTGGAGGCAAAGACGACTCTGCCCTTCTGCACCGTCGCCTTTTGGGGTGCGGACGGTGGACGTCTTCACGCCTGCGCGATGCTGCTCGTACGTCCATTGGCGGCTTCATGGGAAAAGTTGAAGACCTGGCACCAGCGAGCAGAACGAGCAGAACGAGCAGAACGCAGAACCAGAGTTGATCCGGCTTGATCCAGCCGGAGGGTGTGTTCAAAGCCTCGTGCACGTCCTTCCTTCGCGGATTGTCACGGGGCCTTGAGGGAGAAGGTCTCGTGGCCTTCACGTTCCCAAACTGTTACCTACTTTCACCCACTCATCTTGAGTTCCACATCCAGCTTCCAACCGGTCTTCTTGCCATCCTCTCATGCCGGTCACCCTTCTTCCCACCCTGCCACCAGCCTTGGCCCGAGCCAAGCCGCGGCCATCATCCAGGCCGCCCTTGGTGAGCACACCCACCAGGGTGGACTTCCCACTGTCCACGTTCCCAATCACCTGGGCTGCAGGGAGCCAAGGGGGAAGAGAGGGGTGGAGTGCGTGGCCTGGACTTGGAGTGTGGGGCCTGGAATGGTTCGTGCCCGTTCATGTCAAAAGTGTACCTCAAATCATCTCAAATCCAAAAGTGCTCTTTTGCATGGAAGGAGCGTCCCATGCTGATGTTGCGCCCTTCTTCGATCTCCCAGAAGAGCTGGACTTGTCCCAGCCAGCTCTTGAACCACGTTCGCCAAGAAACGGCCACTGTGACGTCCTTCATGTGGTCCTCCACCCAGTCGTCCGTCAACTCTTCGATCCTCAGGTGCTCGGGAAGGCAGGTGCAAACCACCAGCCGCCGCAGACAAGGTGAAGAACGGAGACTGGCAACTTCTTATGAACAAGCTGCTTTTTCACCTTGTGAAGCTCCAAGTAGCTAAGAAATCGGTGATCCTTAGCAGCTTTCCCTCAAAGGATATCCACTAGGGTCATGAGCAAACAACACAAGGAATGACCCGTTGGTGTGTCCAATTCCCTTCCCACAGCCAAGATCCCAACTTTTGGAGCTACTTCAAGATCCCAAGAGTGAAGTGTCTTTCCGCTTCGAAACGGTTTCATTTTTCCTGGTCCAAGACGAGCATCTTGGTTTTGGATGCATCGTCGGTGGCATCTTCCTCATCGGAAGTGGAACGGTCCATGTCCTGCAAGCACAGGTCCAACATCACTGGTGATCCAGCCAAAGGAGCTTGGATTCTTTTTGCACCTCCAGACTATGGTCGCTTATGATGTGCATGCCACCTATGCTGACAGAAGGACAGATTCGTTGTGACAGTCATGTGCAAGACCAAGGCTGCTTCGAAAAGATGGAGTAGAACTGGAAGGAAGAGAAGGAGTTCCCAACCCGGATCGCAGACCCTCTCGCAAAGATTCGCCAAGTGCCCAAAAACAAAGCTTCTGCGGCGGCCAGGTGGGCCAAGTTACAAGTCCAAAACACCCGAGTTACACCCGAACACCGCGATGCTTGAGGTTTGGAGCGAAGTATGGTCGTTCTGGGTCAACATCGTCCCACCCACCCACCACCCCGCCAGTCTGGACGTCGGCCTTGGTCTCCTCCACGTCTTTGGAGCTCAAAGGAGCTCCGGCGGGATGCTCCTCGGGCGTCTCGGACGGCGCGCTCACGCGGTGGGACGGTGGGACGGTGAGGCATCAAAGCGGTGACGGTCTGACGTGAGGGTCAATGGTCAGGTGTTTGGGAGGGAAAAAAACCGGGGCATGTACCGTCCTAGATGGTCCTTGCCCTGAAGCGACTCTAGCAATGATGCTCTCCCATATCCATGAACTGTTGCCTCAGAAAAGAATGAATCCAACATCCAAGCATATATCTTCCAACCCTGCCATCCTCTCTCTGGAGCCTCTTCCCGCCTCCTCCGGCTTCTGTACCGCCATGCCCGGAACAGTCTGTGTTCCGTCTTTGTCCCAAGCTTCAAAGTCTCCAGCGTTTTCGAAAGAAAGACAACCTGTGTTGAACCCTGAAGGACTACCATGATTCCATGTGCCGAAAGGATGATGAATTACAGTATCAGAAAAAACAGATCTGGACCTGGCTATGATCTTGCTGCTTAACATCTAGCACCCTACCGCAACTCATGATTTTCGAGGATGCTGAACATGTTGGACATCTTCATTGCACTACTCTAGTCACTCGAATGGATGAGGGCTGTTGAGCCGACGTAGACCCACATGTACCCCCCTACACTGCACACAGTAGCACCAAGACGACATCGCCTTGCAGTCGGAAATTGAAAATTCTGGTAAGTATTGTATTGAACAATCATCCTGTTGTGGGGTTGCTACCCAAAAGCAATTTGGCCAAGAAAGTCTTAAGTGCAAGCTGCTCTGAAGAGATTGGGGCCCACCACCCCCAAAGAATTGCCAAAAGAACCCTTGAAGCGAATAGTACTAGAAAAGGATCCGCGCCAAGTACCAACACCAAACATGCCATAAAGAAAGATTGCTCGATCGTGCAATCGCGCAACCAATCTTATCGTCCGAACTCTGCATCTCTGACACGTTTGACAGGTGGTTTGGGGTTCTATCAAATGCCAAAGCTAGGTACAATCAGAATATGGGTCGATTGGTCATGCTGCTCACTGGCTCACTTGGGTCAAGACAGTCCTGCTGCTTGGCTCAGTCGTGGGGTTCATCCCACGACCCTCGCACTTGGTCGTCGGCCGGTTCCACCCGTACCCAGCGCCAACTCTTTCCCTTCAGAGGCAGCTTCGAAAGCACAAGCGGTCAGTATGGTAGCCTGGGTGGACGCGGGTAAACACCAACCAGTCCAAAACGCATCGGTTGATTGAGGAAATCAAACCTGCCATTTCTTGCCAAAGCTGTATCACCACCTTTTCTGCAAGGCACCGCACGTGGCTTTAGGTCCTTGTCCCTACTAGGTGGATGTTTCCAAAGGGATCTACAAGGAAGGCTTTACCACGCTGTTGACTCTTGCCAAGGTGAGTGTTGCAAATCACTGTAAAGTTTAAACTTGGAAATATTGGAAGCCCAAGACAAATCCATCTTGCCCTTGACAAATCACTCAGGTTGAGAAATTCAAGTCATCTTCGTTTGTTACATGCCTCCTGGCACTTTGCTCCCGGCTGTTGGGTCAGCTTTCTAGCTCTCAAGCCGCCGCGCAAACAACGACTCGATGAAGAGCTTTGACCATTTGACCAAAATCGTTGAAAAAATTCAGTGTACTGATGCGTTCGCCTCGGGTTAAGTAGTTGCTTTAGCAGTTGAGCAAAGAGAAACACATGCCTTTTGTTTGGGCAACGGGCAAAGTCAAGAAATCCTCACATGGTTCGCCTCTGGGCACGCCGAGGTTCTGGTTCTACGCACGTGACGACAGAGAACTGGCGCCCTGGTTCCGTTTTCTCAGCAAACGAGCCAGCACCATGCAGCAAGCGGTGCAGCTGGTGCAGTCCATTCACTGCTCGACTGCTCGACTGCGGAGTCCATGGAGGACAGCTCATCCCATGGCGACACCGCGACACCTGCTTAGCTTCAAAAAGCCATTGAGCAGTGTCACCTTCTATTCCTGCTTAGCGACCCCTGCTGGTCACCAAAGCTTAGAACAGAAAAGGACCCACCTTTGGTGAGCAGCTGTGTGCTCGTGTCAAACGCTGGGGCGTGTGTCAAACGCTCGCTACATGCCACCTGATCCCGTCCCCAATTCATTTGGCAAGAGTTCAACATAAACGGCGTAGTTCATCAGTTGATCCTGCAATCGTCTGGTTCCTTTTGACCAGACCCCAAAAAAGGACCTGTTGTTTGACAGGAAAAAACATGGCTTCGCCCTCTTCCTCTATCATCTCCAAGTGACGCGACCAAGCGCTGCACATACCGTTGTAGCTCCGGGCGCATGGCCTGGGGCAACGGCGACGGTTTGTGGGTTTCCGCAGCCCGGTGTTTTCCAGTGGCAAACCTTGGAGCCGTGAGGGCGGACAGGGAGCAGGGCTTTTGAAAAGGTATGTCTTGAGATTTGGGATTCAATGTATGTCATACACCACTTTAAGAAGCAGTCTTTGATGAGGAAACGTCTCCTATTTGTGGAAACGCCCTGTAGTTTTTATGAGGTTGACCCGAGCAAATAGAGAGAACTTCTACTACTCAGGGCTCCCTGAAAGATCAAATCTGAAGTTGTTTGCTCATGCTTTCAGGGCACCTCCCACATGGGGTGAATCCAAAATGATTCACTTATCCCACTGGGGTCTCCAACTTGACCAACCAGGTTCTTCTTGAAAGTCCAGTCATCAAGAAGATTCTTCAAGGAGCAGCTTGGAGGTTAGACCGTGTGAGGGTGTCCAGGACGGCATGCTTCGAATATCTATTTCAAGGTGTCCCATCAGCTACAGCTGCCATTCTGCCAACGAGGCCAGTCGTCACGGGGCGTTTGGCCAGCAAGGGCTTGGTTCCTTTTCTCCACGCTGTTTCAGCTCTGCTGGTCCCGCGAGTTGGAGTGAAAAACCGAAGCAACTCTTCTCTGACTCATCTTCCTCATGCCGATCTTTTTCCGAGCATTTGGGAGGTTTGAACCGCAACTGAAGATGAGAAGAGCTGCTTCGGTTTTGGCGAACTTTGGCAGACAACATGGCGTTCATTTCCATGCCAATAATGCAACCCATCACAAGGACTTTGGAGGGAAAAGCAACTCTCCAACTGACTGTCCCTCTGAGCTTCCCCAACACCACACGACGGCCTTCCGTGGGACAAGACCTTGGTTGCTCGAGGTTTACGACCTTCCTTTGACAAGGCCTTGTCAGGCCAATGGCATTTAATCTACTTTGGAACTTGCTGGTAGTAGGGCTTCAGGGCATCCATGATTTGAAACACTCCCAGACTGGAGTTATTTCGCGGTTCACACCGAAGAGCATTAACAAAAAAGGCAATGTCAAACCGTCTAGAGGCTCTCGCGTACTTGGAAGAAATTCGCCCAATCAAATCAGGGTGTGAATGGAAGAGAATATACCAGCTGCTTCCGGTCAACCCACTCTACTTTTTTGGATCCGTTTCCAGGCAGAGCACCGCTTGGAAGGGCTAGGGAGATTGCCTGGAGGTGCCACAACTCCCGTCTCAGCCCGTCTCCACGAACTCGTTCGTCCGACTGAAGGAATGATGAAGGCTGAGACGTGGCCACTTTCAAGATGACACCAACTACGATACCTATTGGTTAGGGGGTCTACATCCTCAACCGGAGTTTCACCTGGACGCTAGTCTCGCAACCAAGACCCAGACACAAAAAGAAAGAGCTCAGCCCAATGTTCGCTTCGCCGTGCGGTCCAAGGCCCCAACCCTCCACAGGTCTTCACTCGCCTGGCCCAAAGTGTCAACCAACAAGGAAACAACCCAACCAGGACGGAGAAGGCGAGGTGTGTGCCCCCAGAGTGAGCACATCGTATCGCAGCGGTTTGACAGTGATTGAAGGTGGGACTTTCGCCAGTGATCTGTCCATTTCAGCAGGCGATCCATCCCTAGTCTTCACCCAAATTGGTGTAGAGACAGTCGCCAGCCACCCAGTCACCACCGATCTGCGCGACCGCGATCCGCGCCCTCCTTTTTCGCTCAAAATCCATGGAACAGTCCCGTCTCTTCCCGCTCGCACGCGACCCACCGCCAGGGGCCCGACCGATGCTCTTGAATGGAAAGAAGGCCAGAAAGAGAGGATGTCAAATCTGGAACAAGCACGTGGTCTGGCACCAAAAAAGGAAGTATAAACATTCACGATCCTAAAAATCCATCATTCCACATCTTAAAAACCATCTTTAAACCATCCCACACTCTTCCGAAGATGGCTGGTCGGTGTCCTCCAACCCCCGCGGTGGGGGGCCGCCGAGCTGTTGAGCTTTCCGGAAAAAAGCGCTCACGGCTCAGCAGGGAGCATGACGTAGGGCGTCGGCGCAGCCGCAGGCTTCTCCTGGCGCCGGGCGTCTTGCGTCTGGGCCAAGGCGGACTGCTGAGATAAAGAACACTGCAGGGTGAGACAGGTCCAAGTTTCTGGAATTTGAGGCGCAACTCATTCATTGAGGCATATTAAGGGCACTTTAAGGGCACTTGTGGACTTCTTGGACATTGCGGGGCTCCGAATCAGGAAGCATGTATTGAAGGCACTGACTTCGGAGACGGTCAACTTACCTGCTGGAACTGGGCCGGAATCGGCTCCGCGACACGACACGACCCCCGCCAAGCGCAGTCCTTGCCCTCCTCGTCTTCAGGCTGATCGGCTGGCTCGCGCGCAAAGGCTGAGCCCTTCCGGGCGTAGAGCGCGTAGACGATGCCCACAGCCACAGTGATTCCGCCCAGGTAGAACCAGAACATGTTGAACTGGTGGTAGGTCAAATCCTCTGCCGACCGAAATCTGTGTTATTTGTGCACGGACAGAGAGAGAGAGAGAGAGAGAGAGACCGTCGTGTTTTTCATCTGGCGAGGAACGTCCTGAAAACCACAAACTTTGAACGTTTGAGAGGTGCTCACCTGTACAAAGAACTGCCCAATATTCCTTTTCCATTCTGTGGAACATACGTGGGTCATCTTCATCAGTCTCACCCCATCAAGCAAAAACAACCGCACTATCCAAAGACCCTGGCCGTCGTGACCACCATGGTCCAGGCGCGAACGGAGACGGACCGGACCGGGCCATTCTTCCTCACTGTTTGAGCACATCCGGATGTTTCACCGAGAACTCCGTCCAGTCCATCGATGAAACGTCAGGATCCTGAACGGAGGCTCGTCCAGCTCAACACCCGAGAAACCTCCCGGCGCCATTTCTCAAAAAAACGAGACTCCCAACACATCAAATGCAAACGAATGGCAGCAAAACCTCCGTGTGCACCAAATCCGCAGACACAATAAAGACCACCCACCGTTTTGGCCGCCCCCCCGGAGAAAACCGGGGAGGTGAGGAGAAAGGGTGCTGGCTCGGACGCAGACGCGAAAACCCGTCCGGACACCTGTCCAAGCGTCGGACTGGAAGTGGGTGTCCGGACCGTTCCAGCCGGCGAGTGCGCCTCCCGCGGGACTTCGGATGCGACGGAGAGGAGCGAACGGAGAGGAGCGACGTTCGTGGTACGGTGACCGATGGAAAAAGACATGAAAAAACCGTGAACCGGGAGGGTGTGGATTTGAATCCGAGGCTCTACAAGCAATGGGTAGACTGGTCTACTGTCCTTCTTCCAGGAAGTTGAACTTGGAGGTCTCCCTATTTTTATACACACCCAGTTCAACTTCCCTTGAACCTTGAACCTTGGGATCATCTTTCCAAAGGGCCCGGCTTGTACTTCGATGGTAGTTGCGGAGTGAAGGCCAAAAGGTCCCTGCAGGTCCATTGGAGCGAAAATAAGAACGTGGTCCCTGTGGAGACGAGGTCCTTCAAAGATCCAACAGAAGTGCCCAAGACCTGGAGGTCCTTCAAATCCAGGATCACATAATACCAAAGATCACTTGGAATATCACCTTCCAAGAGAGCATCCAACATCTGGTCACATCTGGTCACAGAACACCTCGGCACCCCACCTACAGCCCAAACCACTCTTGTCCCCCGACTCCCAGCTCGGTGGCCAAGCCAAAGCCCGGCTCGAGCCATGTCCGGCCTACGAGCCAGAAGGCTCCCGCAGCTGCAATGAAGAAGGCTCCCAACGTCGCGATCGACTCGCCGCACTTGCATCCGCACTCCTCCGCCGCACTCGCGGAAGAGAACCGACGCACGGCAAACCGTCGGGTGCCAAAAGGACTGTGGGAGTCGTGCCGCATCTCAACCGTGTTTTGGGAGTGATGAGAGGCTTTTTCGAATGGATCTTCATAGGAACCCCTGAACATACTACGAGATGAACACCTATGCCGCATATGCCCACCTATGCGAAGAACTTCATCGACTTCATGGACTGCTTCACAAACGATCGCCCAAGGTCCCTAGGAAACCCTCCCATCCTCGCGCTCGTGATTTGCATCTTCCTTGTACCCTTTGAGTTCTGGTTCTCAGGCACTCGTCGTTTCGCCCCCTCCTCGCTCTGGCACTCGGGGGGGCAGCAGCAATCGCCACAGGTCGCCATCTTATCAGTTGCGAAATGTGCTAAAAAGCAGATCTCTTTACTCTTCCTGAGCCCAAAATGCTGCCCAAAATGCTTCCCAAAGGCTGGCATGAATTCACTTCAACTTCGGGAAGCGTTCGAGCGATCACAAAGGTGGACTTGTGGGAAAAAAAGAAACGGCTTTAGTGTTGAGCATGATCGTTTCAAATGTGGCTGAGTTCCATCCAATGCTTCCACCCGCCGATGTCTATACTTGCGCATCCAGCTTGATGTGCTGGACGACTTTGAAGCACCGAGCTGGGGAGTCCGGTTCACCGCCCCAAACAAAAACAGCAGGCCCAAACGTATGCAGCATGCGCCAGATCACATCTCTTCCAAAGCTCTTCAAAAGCTGGAAGACCATTCTATTCCGAGTCCATCTCTTCCAACCTCTTCCAACCTCTTCAATCTTCCAAACCACTGGTCTGTGGTTGTCCCCCTCCCCAGACTCCCCAGATCTCCCCCGCACCTGCAGCAGCTCTCCAAAGCTCGCCCGCTCAGACGCGGCGTGCCGCAGCGGCGGCCGCAGGGCGCTCACCGCCGCCTCACGCGCTCACGTGTCGGGGGGGTCGGTGGGATGCGAGGAGGCGTTCCTTGCAGAGGAGGAAGGAGGAGGAGACCCTTATTTTGATTGTTTCTTTTTCCATGTCCAGCTTGCACTTGCCTTGGAGACCCAGGTGTGCCACATCAGCAGAAGCCAGATCCGGAAGCTGGGCAGATCCGTGCTGCGCCCGATGGCCATGAGGTCTTGAAACTCGCTGCGTCTGACCAACACTGGCAAGGATTGGCCAAAAAAAGGGCCATACACGATCATTCATTGCTGGCATCTGGCGAGCAGCACCGATCATCTTAAAGTGCGGCTTAAAGCAAGCTGAAAGTTGCTCCGCCCGCTGCCAAAGGCCACAAATGACTTCAGGAAGGCAACAATGATGTATATATGTTTGATGGATGAAAAAGGTTTGGAGACACAAAGCAAGGGGTTTTGAAGATGGGTTTTCCTTGTGTTATCGTTTCACTTGGGACTCATCCTCCAAGTCAAGGGAAACCACATGGAACTGAGACCAGTTCCCATGTATACCTTTCTTCAAAAGCTCTGTCAAGCGAAGCTCCCTATCTTTGAACCATCCAACCGAGTCCAACAGTCAAGACGAAGTCTGAATATGTTCACACCTGCACACACCTGCATAGACCTGACAATTCAGAATTCCCTCATTGGCCAGACCAAAATCTTCAACAATGCTGATCTGACCATTTCTGCCTGCTGGCACCACTGCCACTGCCGTCTCCTCCGCCTGCCCCGCCTTGCAGGACCCTCCACGACGAAGTGCGCAGCGACGGAGCCGTCGAGCCGCAAGGCGTACACGACTCCTATCGATGCGGAGATCATCCAAACACCGTGGTCAATGGTTTTGGTTTTAGATCGTTCGTGCATTTCCCCGCCAAAATCAGTTTTCTTTAAGTTTGGAGCATGCAGTTTTGGGAGGCAACAACATCAAAAGTCAGCCCTGCACGCTGCATACAGTAGCTGTTCTTTCCACCCGCCCTTTCACAACCAGCCAATATGTGCCAACTTCTTCTTGGACTCGTGCTCATTACAGCAACCCATTCGGCAGTGACCCTTTTCACTCCTCGTCAGTCCACCACCAGGCCGGGGTGCGGTCGCACGCCAGCGCCGGGCGGCACGGAGCAGCAAGGAGGACAACCAACAGTTGTCCGAGAGCCTTAAGGGTTGGAACGAGGGCAGGTTGGGACGAAGCGCCGGTGCCCCCAAGAAATGTCAAATGCTTTCACACCAAACCTGTTGAAGCAGGAGATGGGTGTGTCGGTGATGGCTCACAGGGTGCCGGGATGGGAGCAACCACTTCAGAGTTAAACCCCGAAGGGTTTTGTCAAGACCAATCAGTTCGACAGAAACCCCCTGTTTGAAAGAAAACCAACCAATCAGTTTGATTCCAAACTCCAACATCCTCCGCATCCGCCGAGTAGCTCCCAGCGCCACTTCTGCAGAATGAATTGGCCCTCGCTGGACCAGACCTTCCTCGGCGAGTGCGACACGAGTGTCGTCGGCTCCGCAGACCTCCGCAGGGCTCCGCAGGGCTGCCCTTGGGGCCGCTGCATCGGTGTCACAAGAAGCGAAGCGCAAGCGGTGTCGCATGATCGAGTTTGGAAGGAAATTCATCCACCGGTGGAGGGATGAAAGGTGGATGGTTCTGAATGGTGTTGAGCGACTTTGTACTGAGTGTGGCCTGAATTCGCTTGTTAAAGAGTGCCTGGAAATGCCAGGAACTCAGCTTATCATTGATTGCATGACCCCCATTTTGCCAGAGTTGAGGATTGCCTCAATGGCTCTCCATTACAAAAACTGAATTCACATTTGAAGGATGCAGCCAACTTCTGGATGCTGCTGGCCGTTCTGGCCCCCCATTTCTGGTGGCCCTCCTTCATTTGGGTTCACACGCACAGGCCCATGGCCCGGACCACAAGGCGTCCCGTCGTCCCTCGAGGTCCCTCGAGGTCCCTCGAGGTCCCTCGAGGTCCTCCGAGCGTCTGCAGCTGTGAGAAGAAGTGCTGCTGGGGCGCTGCAAGCAACCTGCGCATCCGCGCCGAAAAGGTCCAAGAGAATCAGGATGCACGGGAGAGAATTCGTTGGAGCATACGCCCCAACGCTGTCGTTCAAAAAAGACCATGCACAAGCAGAGTACAAAAACGATGCCCTTCAGCATCCTTTCTGTGCCAGCCTCCACCCTAAAGCAAAATCTGTTTACCTCTTCCATCCTCCACTCTCCAAGTCTTTGGACATCTCCAGTCCCATGTTCCAGTCCTCAAGAGCTTGAAGCTCATGGCCAAGACCCCACAGGACTCCTGGGTCCAAATGGGCTCGGCCATTCGTACCAAGGGGTCGGCGCTATCGAAGAGCGCGTTCAAAGAGATACCTCAGCAGGCAGGGGCAGAGGAGATCCCACCAGCTGGGAGGTTGTCCAAGGCCCCATTTGGCCTGCATATGATTCTGATTGAAGTCTGTGGCGAGCCAGGGTGCTGCAGTAAGATGCAGTATAGTAAGGTGATGAAGTCAAAGAAATGGCGATTATATAACCTCTCGCTTGGTCGTCGCCGAGCACTGAAGCTAAAATCAGCCATGGTGCCATGTAGACGCCAGAAATCCTCCAATGGCACACCCAGGCTCACACAGTCGTAGCTCGGTCGGTGGGCGGGCGATTCAGTGCCTGATGCCACAAGGTCCCGGTGTGTCACCCATCTCAATCGAACGGTGGAAGACGACCCACCGTGCGGGGTCGGAGTTGACGACCCACCGTCACCGATTGATTCAGTCGTGACTCGTCAGTCCGAAGCAGCAGATCTGGCAGAAATCCAACTCTGTCACAGTCAGCTCCGGTCCAAACGTCCCGTCAGATGTGCAGGGTGGTGCTTTTGGACAGCGACGATGACGTGAGTCAGACTGAGTCAGGCAGGGGTAGGATGGATTACCGTAGCTGCAACACATCTGGACAGCAAATGGACCCAAAACAGCCAGAAGACCCTGCCTCTCGAGGTCTCCACAGCCAAATGCCCTGGTGAACTGGGTTCGACCGGCTCTGGGAGCTTGCACTCCTCGTATTCGTGCAGGCCTGGCCAAGAAGAGATCCCCAGTGCTGCGCTGGGATGATGTTGCTAACAAAGCCTAACAAAATGTGAGTTCTACCCTGCGAGTGGAGGCAGAAGAAGAACTCAAAACACTGGCGCCGGTCTTCAGAAGCGCTTTGTCCCCTAAGGATATGTCTTGCTCCAACAACACGCCTCCCTCCCTCACGGCTTCCACTCTTCTGCCAGGCCACTGGTCGTCACCAAGCGGCACTCGCCCACCGCTGCCGTGCTGCGGTTGGAGCTGCGCGGCGCGAAGCGGCGGAAGAGGCCCGCACAGTGGCCACGGAGCCAGATGTGCTGGGCATCCAAGCACCTCAGGCTGCGGACCGAGGGTACTGCAGAAGAAGACCCTCCACATGGAATCATGTGGAGATGTGGAACGGTGTACAGCCATTCTGGCACGGGGGCTTTGGAACAAATCAAGAGTCAACATGACATCAAGAAACTGCTCCTGGTGCAGTTCAGCCGCCCAAAGGTGATGCCCAGCTCACAGTAGGGCGTGGCCTTCACCGGCTCCAGCGCGCAGCGCGGGTGCCGCGGCCGCGGCGTTCCGCGGCGCAGGACACAGAGGCTGTGGCGGAGGTGCTCTTGCAAAGCGATGCCTGGTGAATTCAGCACCGGAAGGCGCCATGAGAATATGGCTCTGGGTCTAGAACGGGGATACCTTGGCTGACCTACTTGGAAGGTCGTGAGCTACATAGCGGAGCAGGGCTCCAGGTAGATGTAGACTGACTCTTGACGAGTAGCCTGAGGAGATGTCTGAGTCAAGTGGCACAGCCCATCGTAGGCAGTGCAGATTCTCAAAGCCATCCGGTTGAATAAAACCTCCCCATTTAAAAAGTCAACCTACCTCTCCAGTCTCTCCAGTCTTTGTGGAGCGAAGAACGATCAAGAGTCTACACTCGAAGCGAAGATTGATCAGCACATCGACACCTGGTGAAAGCTGGCCGCACTCGTTTATGCCTGACCATTAACTGAAAAGGATTGTGGCCCGCAGTCAAAGCCGAGAATTTGAATTAATAAGAAAACATCGCCTGGAAGACCTCTTCTTTCTTTTCTGAAAGCCTTGTCTTTTTGACCAGGGTCGATACCTTTCGTCCCAACGCTCCCAGCGAAGGTCGCAGCGGCTCCCGAACTCGCGGCCTGCGAAGAGCCTCAGCTCTCCCTCCAAGTCCTTATCCCTCTGGAAGCCCAACAACGCCAAGTCCCGCAGCCACCAGGAGTCGTCCCTGGCGCGACACCCAACAGATACCGCCGCGAGACCGGAACATGAAAAATGGTCTAGTGGTTTCAGAGTCTGAAGAGTCAACAAACCCCACAAAATCGTGCCATCTACTCTGAAACCACTAGACCATGTATGATTGTCCGACACGTCGCCCAAAAAGGATCCCGCCAGCGCTTCTCCTGTTTCAACAAACAGTTCCGTTCAGTGAATTCCTCCTGAAGGTCCGCGGAAAACGTGTTGACTGGGAGGATGGATCGTGAACATCAGTTGATTTGGAACTCCTCCACCTTTCCAAGGCACAAAGGGCACCAAAGGGAACCAAGGAAGCTGCGAACTAATGTGCGGATTGATTCCTAAACGGGACCACAAGTGACAAAACAATCAAGCAAAATCTCCAAAAACAGATCTGAGCTCCTCCAGATTCCAGAGTCCTTGAATGGGCAAGAAAAGAACTTCTCCACTCGCTGGTCTAGCTTGGGGGGGGCTTCATCCTGCTTCATCCTCTTCCTCGGCCTGGGGGCTCGCCGTCCCCAGCTGATGAGGATGCCTTCGCCTGCCAGGCGCCCCAGGTTCGCCAGCAATCTCGCCTGGGGTCTGGTCAGCTCGGACGGCCCAATGCGGAGAAGCAGAGGGGGGAGGAGCGGAGTGAAGTCAAGTCCAGTGGCTCAGGAGGTCATGGAGGTCATAGATTCTATAGATGTTTCATGATCAACTTGGTGTTAACAAGAGAACCATGGAAGAAGTTTGAAGTAGCTCTACATGGAGAACCTGAAGCCATCTTTGAGAAGTCGAACCGACAAATCCCCAACTTCAAAAACATCTAGGACCTAGGACTTCATTAGGACGAATTGTTCGATTCATGACCTTTTTCCATGCTTTTGGGATCCCTCCATTTCGACCCACAAACTCCTGTTGCAAGTCCGTTTGGCCATGCACGTCGCGGCTCGCGGCTCGCGCACCTGCTGGCGACGTCCGTTGAGCTGCTCTCCCACGTCCAGGCAGATGGCCCAGTCCATGGTGGCACCGGACTGCACCTGGAGCGTCACCACCATGACGGCTGAGTCCGGCATCACCACCAGATGGATAAAGGATGGTAAGGAGATGAAATGTCGGGTTGAGGGAGGAAACTGGGATGAAATGAGTGGAAGCCTGTCCTGGCCCTCAAAATCACGAAGAAAATGTACTTGGCTTGGATTCTTCGATTCAAGTTTTGGGCTTTTGAGAAACCTCCATGGGATCAGTAGAAACCTCAAAGAGAACCCGTTTGAAACCGCAAGATGCTTTCGTCAAATCCCGTTGGTGTTTTCTTAGCTTGTGGCTTTGCAAACAAAAACCACCAGCTCCACTTTTGTCCTCCTGCGCGGAGCAAATGTCCACACTTTTTGCCCCCGTTGTTCGACAGCAAGGCTGGCTTGCAGGTTGTCCACAAACCAAGATTCTAACCAGCACTCAGTCCCATCAGTTCTTGTTCGTCAATTCACGTTCCTGCATCCCACAAAGCTCACAAGGCATAGGCATTTTTCACCCAGTGCATCCAGTCTACAGGCCCATTTCGGAAATTTCCTCTTCATTTAGGGCACATGTCCAGAGATTCTATTGCAGTGGGGTCATGAGAAATCTCCCTCAGCTCTCCACGTCAGGCCCTCCCTCACCGACACAGACAAACCACTCACTCACTTCCTCTCCCAAATGCTAAAGTCGGATGAGGATGGCTCAAAAAAGAAAGGAATGTCTGCAACGTCCCCATGGGTTCCCTTCACCAAACCCTTAACGCGAGACGCGCGAGCGGTTTGCTGCGAAGAAGCTGGCAGAAGGATTCCAGGACCGTGCTCGAAGGGGCTGGCCACCTGCGCCTGGCATCGGCGATGATGGAGAAAACCGTTGCGATGCCGCTGAGAAGCAGCTTTTGGGGAGTGAAACAATAGAATGCAAAACCAGCAGCCAACGACGTGCACGAGCAGGAAGCACAATCATCTTAGGCTTAAACCTTGGTGTGTATACTGTATACTGCAAAGAATAAGAAAGAACAGAAGAGAAGTGAAGGAAAGAAAAACAAAACATATGTGATCTAAAAATAACACACCAAAATCAACAGCATCAAACATAAGACGAATGAAATCTTCAATCTTCCTCCGACCTCCGCCACATCAGGCAAGTCCTGGTACTTCTCATAGAGCCACACCTCTGGGTTCGTCATCTCGCAGCGGTTTTCCGCAGGGTTTGGATGGGTTGACAATACCCGGTAGCACCCCCAGTAGCTCCCATCTAAATGGAAAAGTGGATCGAATTGGGAACAAATGGAAAAGTCGAACCACTACAAGACCTCAATTTGTTTTGATCATCCGTGTACGAAACACAGGTAAAAGAAAATGAAGGAATCAATGCATTCTTGAGCAGGAAACCAAGCTGCCTGATCTTTCCCTTTGGATGTGAGGGAAGTGCCAGCTTGCAACTGCCAACATTCGGAAGACGGAAGCTCTTCCTTGCCTGCCAATTGAATACAGTCAATCAATCATCCTGGAGCAATTGGAATGCTAGTCATGCGAAATGACCAACCAGTTCTGACCTCACCAAGATCCTTTGCACCCAGCCCACACTACACCATCGTTTCAATCACGTGTGCCTCTTGACTGCTCCTCCAAGTCTGTCGCTCTGGGAGCTGCCAGCGAAGCCGACCCAAGGTGTCCTAGGGCAGTTCGGCAAAGTGGCCCAGGCTGAATGTGGACGCTGAATACGACCCTGCTCATTCGTGACAGGATGAGAATGAGATGCATAGATCACCAATGCCTTTTCTGGTACGCAGCAGCTAATATCACCTTCGCTCCGCTAGTAGGTTGGAGGCCATCGCTACTTGGGGTTGGGGGCCATTGCTACTATAGGCTCCCTCTCTCTCTTCTTTCTCTCTTTTCTCTCTCTCTCTCTCTCTCTCTCTGTGTCTGTCTCTCTCTCTCTCTCTCTCTCTGGTCGAGCATCGAAGGCACGGCAGGTGAGTTGTCCACAGCACCTCGCAGCCACGTAGTTGATCCAGTTGATCCAGCCTCTGTTGATCATGCGGCCCCCGACCGGGCGAGCACCGGTCACGACCGGGTCGACGGGGTTAGAGTCACTGTGATCAACCAAAAGCTCCACCAAACCGGGGAGATATCAATATTCCCTTTGGTACACCAACACAGTTGACTGGCAAACCAGAAAGGAAGAGTATATCAGTATAATTGTGTGGTGTTGGGAATGATTTCAGGTGATTTTCAGGGTGAAGTGGATACTTCAAGCATCGCTCCCAGGCCAGTGGTGAGTGCAACATTGATCTCTGGACTTTCGGTGTTCTGCGGCCAGAAGTCCCAAAGGGATCATCCAGCCATCCAGCAATCCCAGATCAAAGCAAGCTCCCCATCAACGATGTTCAACGTTTGCTAGAATCTCCAAACTGCTTCCTCCTTCTCCCCCTTCCCAAAACCCGCCTGTGGGATTGCTCATGTCCTGCTTGTTGGGTCGGCCATCGAACTGCACGCCCGCCGACTGTCCGGCGTCCTCGTACTCGCCGCCTTTGGCGAACTTCCCCAGGTGCGGGCGGAAGTTGCACCGTGGATGCGCGCTGCGGAGGGTGAAACTGAGGTTGGCTTCCGTCACGTCGGCCACCTGCCAGGAAGGGCTTGTTTTAAAGGGCGGGTGGGGTCAGGCTGGGGCTTTGCTGTTTGTGGAGGTCCAAGTCTGGGAGAACAGGTTTTGCGAAGAGAGATGCCCTACAAAGAACGGCAAAGACCAGTTCTGTTTCGTTTTTTTGGAATCTAGCAATCCGCATAGATTGAGATACCTTAAGAAGACCCAATTGGCCCTAAGTGGAGGAAGAAGTCCGTCAGAAAATCCAGATCCTCACCCGATCCCCCAGCCCCCAAATGGGAACTTGGTGAACCGTCTTCTTCGTGATAAGAAATGTGTGCCTTTTCCTGTATCCCTCCTTTTGCCTGTTACAGTTGCCTGCCTTGGTAGAATCAGACCCCTGATGTACACTCAGAAACTCCATGAAAGTCCCACAAACCCAAGATGCAAAACATAACAACTGGGAGTGAAGCAAGCAAAGCTATCAGACATGAAAAAAACACAAAAGAGCAGCAGAATACAAAGAAACTCTGCAAAAACAATAACATGACAAAGCCGCATCCACCACCAGGAAATCAAGAATAAAAAGTTTCAAGAGAGACCACAGAAAAAAAGAATGAAGAAAAATAATCTCCCCCAGAACCCCCAGTCTGTTTGTTCTCACCAGGCCATAGGCATTCAGCGTGGCCGTCAGCAAGGGGTTGGTATCCAAACCCACGGCCAGCAGCCGCCAGGCACGTAGCTCCGCCACCTGAGGACCAGGCAACATGCTGCGAGCAAGTGCACGGGAGGTGTTTGGAAGCAAAATGAAGGAAAAAGTGGATCAGAAACAAGGCCGGCACCACGGAAAGGGCGGTTGATTTTGGAGGAAAGGGCGAGTTTTTGTTTATTGAGCCCTGCATGCCCTGCAGGGGCCCATCTGATCCAGCAAGTGATCTGGGGTGCTGGGGTCATCGTGAGCGAAAGAAAAAATGGCTTCTGGTTGGTGTGGTTTGTGGAGGTTCCAAGTGTGACACCCAGGGGTGACCAACTCGGAGAAGATTCTTCTGAAGGGAATGTTCGGAAATATCCAACTCTTGCAGGAGAGACCCTCCTATCTCACTGTGCATTTTGGTCGGGCTCTTCTGACCCCTGCAGGCCTTTACACAGGTCGGTTCAGGCAGGTTTTTTGTGGTTGCATCTCGGGCGAGGCCTCGGCCTCACTCAGATGGAAGTGGAAAACCTCGAACCTCAGAGTGTCTCTCTCCACTTCCCCGTGAGGCGGAGCGTGGTCAACGTCTGTGTTCCCATGTGTCACACTGGTGCCGAGTCAGTTAGGACAAGAATGATGCTGAAGACACGGGTGGATATTCATGCTGTAGTTGGTGGACATAGAGATGAGAGTCAGACATCAACAACGCCTCACCATCGATTCTCCTAGTCACAGTCGATTTCTGCTAGGCTCATTTCTATGGTTCGCGGGGAGACACCACCGAACAGGTGAAGGGAGCGCTGAGGAAACCAACCCTGGCCAAAGAGGCTGGCGTTGCCACTCACTTGTTGCTATGCAGAAGACCGCACCAAGCCTAGGGATCCACAAAATCCATCTCTCCTCCTAGAAAACACAGTTAACAGAGTTAACCAAATCCAGCCGACCTCCAAACTCCTCCAAACTCCCTTGCACCCCGAACGTGTTGTATCCTTGTGAACCGCCCTCCTCCATCTCATCCCTCCATCTCAGCCCTTTTGCTTTGTTGGCCCAGGCTCTAAGGTGCCACGGCCACACCCCAAGTCCACGATCTGAGCAGATCCGGTACCCGGTTCCGTGCGGTCGACGTCTCATGGAGGAGTTGCAGATCTGAGCAGCACCGACCCCATCAGGTGGGGATGCTCCGACCCAATTGATTCATCGATCTTAAAGTCTTAAAGATGTTCGGGTCCATGTCAGGCCTTTAAAAAAGAATGCATACCGGAGGCACTCAGTGCAAGTGTCCAGTGAAGAACTGAAGAGATCTGGGAGCTAATGCATCTTCCCAAAGAGCTTCATAAGTGTGCTTCAGCATCCTAGTAACAGGAATGACATCTGTTTCAGATGTCACAAATTTTCCCTCACCACAGAAAATGCCTCATGATTGATCATCTCAGAGGATACATCTTCAGTCAAAGGACTCAAAGGACACGCTCCACCCACCAGATTCATCGACCGGAAAACATGTGGTCCGCCTCACCTGTCCTTCCCACAAAACCTTTGGCCGTAGCCAAACCAAGCATTCCTGTCAGGCATTTTCAGACATTCAGCTACGTTGTGAGCTTTGTGAAGTTTGGATTTTCTTCCTGCCCCCCCCCCCAAACCCTCTAGAAAGGAAAAATAAACAATAAAAGAAGGGGGTTGAGCCCCCGTCCCCCCAGCCGGCCTTCAAGGGTCGCCCCACTTTCCGCTGCTCCGCGTGAAAGAAGTCCACCAACTTGGCGGCCAAGACCTGATCTGAGTCCATCGACCTAGCTGGGAGGTCTAGTCGACCAAGCTGGGAGGGTCTGCTGTTACAGACTGAAGGGGTTCCAGGTTTTTCATGGCCCATCACCCATGAAGGTTACAAACGCCAGGTGGTGCGAGTCTGGCTCTTCGTCTTTGGAGTCTACCCGAGCCACACCAGCGAACGCACCTGAGGCACTGAGGCACTACTGCTGCTGTGGGTGTGGGCTCCCAGGCTCGGCGGAACCCATGGTCAGTGTCAAAGGGGACAGGTCTCAAATCCAAGAAGTACATGAACATGAACCAAAGAAAGCTTCTGAGTCCATGCCATAAAACTTGATCATGTATGAACCTAGTCGAATCCCCTTTCTGGTACATATCATATGTGTTGCCTCCAACCTCCACCTTTCACGCATGAAAAGACGCAGTGACTTCGTCTGTCCGCATGAACGTCTCCGTCTCCCGTCTCTCCCAGCGGCTGGGTCGTGCTCGTACTGGGCGGGAAAGGTCTGCTCCGGCAAGACCTGAAAACATCGCATGTTGCACAGAACACATAGCCACAGCACTGAGCCTTCAGTAGCAGCCTGGGGGTCTCCAAGATCGGAAGCTGGGCATCTTCTTCGGATGGAGCCATGATGGCCCTCCGACCCCTCTAAAAAGGCTCCCCCAACCGGCCAAATTCCCTCGCTGTTCGGGACACGCGGTCGGGGCGAGCGATGCGACGTTCGTGAGAAGAACGAACAGTCATGTGTGTCGCCAAAACGATGGAGAACAGCGGTGGAGAAGACCCATCTTGTTCAGCCCAGGTTCAAGCCGCGCGCAACACTGATAAGGTTGTGATTTGAGACACATCAGTCGAAGTTGGTGAAGGGTAGGACCTGTGGAAGCCCCAATTGAACATTCATCGTCTCACGAGTATTCACGAGTCTCATCCTTGGAAGATCTCTCACCTGCTTTTAACAACTCCGCCAATACTTCACACAAACCCAATGTCCAATCACCCAAAAACCTCCGAACCCACGCAGAACACCGGAAAAAAAACTCAAGAATGAAAAGGAAAAAGAAAGGGTCATCTCTCCACCACCCTCTTCCACCGTCCCGTCCCAGGCTCCCCGCCTCACCGGTCCCCTAGTCCCCGCCGACCCGCAGACGCCTCCATGCCTTGAAGATGCCACCGCCGCCAGGGCTCCAGGTCGTCCCAGGCACCGGCACCGCCGGCACCGCCCGGACGAACCTTCGGTGACCCGAGGGACCCGACGACTGGGGGCCCAGTTGGAACATGTGGGGGAAGTTTCTGAGAAAGTCTTTTGGTGTTTCTTCCTGGGTGACAGGAACTGATCTCTGAATCCGGTTTCGATCTGGGTTTCGATCTGGGTTGGATTCGAAAGGCGTCCGCACCTTGCAATGATCTTCGAAGGATTGCTCCTTGCACCGACGCAGCCGGACCTGCCGAGGCGCTTTCGTGACGAGAGGAGGCTTTCCAGACACAGGTGGACCTCCGGAAACCAAAGGTCCCTTACACATGGGTGTAAGAAGGATCCAAGAAGTGCTGGTCAAGTTGGAACTGAAGAAAAGAACTCTGCGCAGTGCCAAGTAAACCTGAGTTTTCAGAAACGCTGCCTGTAAGTGTCAGGTTGCAAAAAAAGACGGAAGGTGATTATGAATCAAACTTCTTCCAAGCGGAAGCTTCTTTCAGAAAAAGTTGGATGGTGCACTACTTTCTTTCAATGGTTGGATGTCCCTTCCAATGATTCCTGGTCCAAAAAGATCCTGGGAAGCCCGGCAAAGCAAATGTCGCGCGTGTAGCGCACTGGTAGGTGTTGGTCCACCAAGTATCTGACAACGCATCACGGGCACAGGGGAAACAAAACCATCTAGTAGTAGTGGCCACGAATGAAATTCCATGATGCTTCAGAATTCTAGTACGTACACTGGTGAAAATTCTCTCCTGGTCGATGGTCATATACCCAGGAGAGAAGAGTCCAACTATTTGATCTGGGCAAACCTAAAGTAAAAACATGTCAAAATCAGCTTCTGCCTCTCGAGGATCAGCTCAGGATAGTTGCCTGGACCGCTGTTACAAGCTTCAAGATTCCGTGCCGTGCTGAGATTATTTTTCCACTCAGAATTCACCTCAAACACCTTATGTAGCTGCAGACTCATCAACTCGAGTGCCCAAAGCCGCAAGATATAAAGAAAAGCAAGGTGCAGGGCCCATCTAGTGAGCTACCCTTGCAAGGTGTTTCTCTCACCTTTCGAGGGACCTTGTTCTCAGAGGGACTGAAAGGCAGGCCATATTTGGGAGTTGTTCATCCAGCTCAGATGAGCTTCCAGTTTTGGTCTCGATATCTTGACCCCCACAATTGGTTTCCGTTTTCCACTCGGCTTGCGGACACTCATGCGCCCAATGTCTTCGCCAGACCTTGGCAAAGATCACTCTTTCGATCATCACCCAGAGAAAATCAGCTGAGCAGGAGCTCGCTGAGGCGCCGGGAGTCACAAGTTTGCTGAGGCCCTAAGAATCCAAGAAGAGAAGGTCCTCCTGCTGAAGTGTTTACCACTTGTGGTTCAGTTCACCACCCTTGTCTCGGACCAGTCGCGTGGCGCTTCATCCCAGTCAAAGCATGTGACTTGCCCGGATCTCAGACCTTGTCGCCCTTGGGGAAGTCATAGCTCTTCCAGTTCCTGCAACTTAGAGTTGCTTGGTTGGTTTTTGAAGCACCACAGGATGATGCCTAGGGGGCACTTGCTCTCCGAACCTTCGAATCGGAAAAAGGACCCTTGAGCACTCGCTAACTGGCCACCAAAAGTACACCCACTTCCCCCCCCGGATGCCACTGGACTCATTGCCGATTGTTTTCTCACCTGTAGAACCTCCAGCTCGCCTCCCACCCAACTCGACGGACAAGGTCAAGGACCTCACCTCGCATCCAGCACGTAGTTGTAAAAGTCGAAGTATTTCAACATCAGCGATGGCCTCAACAGCCAGTGAGATTGTTCATTCAGCGGATGGAACTCCCATGAAACTGGCGACACCCCGTGAGGTAGGGACCCAAAGAAATGAAAAAAATGGTTGGGTCCAGCTTCAAGGTCCATTGATCTGAGGATAGGTGACTCCAGGTCCTTTGGCATCCCCCGCGTACCAGCTGCAAAGTTGTCTGCAAAAGCCTCTGACACACATGGGTCTGTCGACAGACTGGACAAGCACAAAAGAAGCCTTCATTGATGGAAGAATTCGCAATTTCTGGTCCTTGCATCCTCTTCCAGCAGAGTTGTTGCATTATCAAAGAGCTATGTCTTGGAACGAGAAGCTGGTTAGGGTTTGGTCAACAGCCCACAATCCAAGCGTGCACCACAAGCACAGCATGTGACTTCGACGGCTTTGCATCTCAAATATAACACTCAATATTGCTAGAAGTGCCAAAGTCGTGTTCATCACACAATGGAGAGCGTTGTACTCTCAAAACCGCCTGCCACTGCAGGATCGGGGCCCATGGCAAGAGAATTCTTTGTCCTGGTGGTCGCATGCCAACTGTGGGTGCAAAAGGATCTGTTGGGGACGCTTCAGAACAAGGAAACCAAATTGTCATTGCCGGTCTGCAAAAAGTGTGTGAAGGTTCTAGTCGACAGCACAACAGCTCAAGCTGAAACAATGGGTGCTAAAATAGACTTGATATAGACTTGATAGCTCAAATAGCAACAAAAAGGACACGTTTGAAAAAAAAAGGACATGCCTCAACACTTCAAAGAATTGATCTGCGCCTGGTGTGTCTTCTCGAGGAGGTGAACAGTTCAACAGTCAACTGAAATTTGGTTGGAAGAAATGAGGACAACCTGTCAGCCCCCCAAAAGACCGATCTGTCCGTCCTCGCCCCAGTCACCCACAAACGCTTCCACGACACGACGCCACAACACCTGTGCAGTCCGATTCCCATCCTCATATGGATCCCGACTGTGAGACTTCTCATACGGCTCGCGTCCGTCTGGACGCGGACGCGACCCTCCCGACCATCGGCACGTCGGCCTCCGGTGCCAAACCCAGGGAAGCGGTGCCAGTAGGCATCGGCCCTCAGGCGGAGCAGCCAATCATACCTCGGAGCGGTCCAATCTGACTGGAACCCGGTTGGGGGCGGGATGGGTGGGTGGGCGGGCGGGCGGGCGGGCGGGGTGGGTTGACGAAAGTGGTTCCACTATTTGTTGACAGAGGGGGGAGGAGCAGTCCCACAGCGCCTTGGCAGTCCGAGTCCCGCGCCGTGTCCCTCCCCAAATCCCTGAGGCCCCACGCCGTGCCCCGGCCTTTGGGGAACCGATGGAGGACAAAAAGGACAAAAGAGCACTGGGGAATGAAATCCTAAGGAGATCAACCTAGTGAGTTGAGCCACCTCGAGCCGAGTTCAAGTGACGAGTTATGTCCTAGTTTTTCCGTATTACTATTAGACCGCAGGCCGAGTTTGTCCGAGAGTACAGAAGTTCATCTCCACATTTCCTGGATCCCCACAAATTCAATTGGCTAAGAAAGATAAAACATCTAAAACCAAATGTTCTTTCTGCAACGGGTTTCTTTTAACGCCAAAGAACGGATCTGCTTTTCTGCGTGGAACTGTGCTTGTTTCATCTGAGCCTAGCAAATCAAGTCGAAAATCAGAAGACTTCAGTGTAGCCGCTACTCCCCATGGCTTCCTGCAAAAAGGATCTACGCTTGAAAACGAGGCCAGGTCAACTTGCAGATGGCCTTTCTCCTTCCTTTCCGCTCGTTCCGAACCATCCTAATCGCCAGACGCCTTGATCCTCTCTTGTAGAAGCTGCCCACAACGGTGTACCAGCCTCAAGGGAAGACAGGAAGGAAGGAAGGAAGGAAGGTCCCAGTGGGTCGAGAAAAAATGCTGCGAGACCAGCTGCTGTCATCCACCGTTTCCAGCCTCTATTCTGAAAAGACTTCAGACATCTCCTCACAAAGTTGAAAAAGATAACTTCTTTCAAGTCAAATCCCCAAGCCTCGGTCCACTTCCGAGACAAGGTGAGGGACGAACCAAGAATTCCTTCCCCACCCGAAACCCGCAATGATTGAGCCCCGACATGGAATCTCCCACTTGCTATCCCGGTGCCAAAGGGTGATTCTGTTGCCGGCCATCTAGAAAACAGACTTGGCAAGGCCTTGTTGTAGAACCGTGAACTTCATCTACCTCCAGGTCCATGGCATTCATCTACCACCACTCCCGCTCCTTGAAACCTTTGGGATTCCAGCTGGCCATCCCGAACACAACTGGCCATCCATCCCGAACCGTGGCCTCAGCTGCAGCAAGAACTTCGCCCGGTCCTTGGACTGTGACCCTCCTTTGCCACCCAAAACAACACCCGATCTGTCCAACATCGGGATGTCGAAAAACCGAGACCATTCTTCGTGTTCTTGTAGCCATTCTCTTTCTTTGCAGATCCAGCTTGGGGTACCTGGGGGGTGGACCATAGCTTTCACCAGGCACGAGCACAGAAACAGCCTATCAACTATGATGATGATCACACACCACTCTCTTGTAGTTTTAGATGCAAGAAGTGCATGCGCCTGCATCCCGCGCTAGCGTTTCGCTGACCAAGCAGGGTGAGCCCAGAAATGTCTTTCAGCAGAAGTCAACAAGAAGCAGAAACACCCGGCCACTCACCAGCTGCCTGCAGACAGATCATCTACCATCATGACAGCTCACAGCTAAGGTGCGGGCCCAACAGAGCCTCAGGTAGGAGGTCGGAACCTTTGCCAGCTAAAAGCTCTAAGTGGAGAGAAAAGAGTAGAATGAAGAAGATCGTGCAAGTCAATACAAAAACACCACCAGAATCCACACAAACGGACAAAAGAGGCGACAAAGAGCCTCCTCCCACACCGTGGTTTCTGAGACTTCCAGTCATGCTTGGAATGAGGCGACCCAGGGTCACCCGAAAAAAGGGGCCGTTCCTCACGCGTGCGAGACCTTCGAATGAGGCACGTTCCGCTTCCGAAAGGACGCAATGGCGATCTGCCTCCGATAGGCTGCCCGGCTCAGGACCTCCTGCCAGCCACTCCTCTTCCAGCGCAGTGAAGGGGCGGTCGGGCACACAGCGGATCTGGGTGCCGTTGGGCAAAAGGCCTCAGGAGCGGGACGACGCGCGACTGTCGTGCATCAAAAACCCTGCTCTCGCTTTCATCTTGAGAACAGTGAGAGCATGATTATGATGTGGATGTGGATGTGGTCTACAGTGACTGAGTGATGATGAAGAAACCCTTCAAGTGCAAAACCTCTCGACTGTGAGGCGACAGGACAACAGAGTCAACAAAATGTTGGTGCTGCACATGTATGTGTTTAAACCAACGGGTTTTTTGAATGATAAACTGCACCGCACCAAGCTTGGTCAGCTGTGTGTTTCCCAGGCTGCGCAGCCGGTGAATCCACACCCTGATCATAAGTTGCTCCATCTTTCAACGGCGAGCTCCGCGTGAAATACCAGCTGGCGGCCGGGCACGCATGGTAGCCTATCATCGCGAGCCTATCATCGCGAACTAAATCTAAACAATCATCCTAAGCTTCAAAGTGAGGTCCCAGACCACCCCCCCATGCGCTGACCAGAGGCAGTCCGCGTCATCCCACTCCCACGGTCTCGTCGGTCTCGTTCGCACGTGGCTGAGGCACCTGCCAGCTGCCTTGGGGCAGTCCTGAAGACTCGCAGATCAGCTAGGTAACAGAAGTTGCAAAAGCCATGCTGTGCCTTTGGTGAGATGTTGCTGATTCTCCATGCGAAGTCACTTGCGGAGCAGCACTTTTTAGACTGTGTGTGTGCGCGCAGTGCAGAGATAAAGAAATATAGTCATATACAGTTATACACTGTATACTCAGAATGTCCAACCATCGCCCCATTCCTCAACACTTGCGAGTCCAGATGTTTTGCACACCTTCGCACCAAATGACCAGTCCACCGGCTTGAAAAGAAACCCACCCACCAACCCACCTCGCCCTCTGGTACCACAGCAAAGAGCTCCACTCGGTCGAAGGCACGAAGAACCTGGAGAAGCTGATCGAGCTGGATGTTTGGGATCGGAGCCGGATGCTTGGGAGCTGGATATCTTCCCAGTTTATGGTTTTCATGTGTATCTGAAGATCAGACCATTAGGAGCAAGCTACATAGCTTTGAGTCATCGGGTCATCCCTTTTCCTTCTTCTTCTTCTTCTTCTTCTTCTTCTTCCGCTGCTCAAGTCGTCTGAGGTCGCAAAACACGCGGATGCAGCTCTCCCACACAAGGGGGGCTTCATTCAGAACGCTCAGCTCTACTGGTTGGGAGGGATCTGGTCAAAACATAGTAATGATCGTGGAAGGTTGTTGGTTTTGGGAAGTGTTCCTGGATAGCCTAATCGGTTGGATGCACATCAGTGTTGATGTAAAAACATTGGAGAGTTAGAGAGAACTCTGCAGTTAGCGAGGAAATCTCGAAGTGTCCATGCCTCCATGGTTCTGCCCTCCAGCTGACTCCTACAAACAACCCCATCCTGCTTGGGACCCTTTCAAGCACTTCCACACCAACACCAGGGCCAAAGAAGGCCGCAGTGGTCTCTGGCTGTTTGTCACCAATTCCAGCTTTCCATTGAGGGCGTTTCGTTACTCAGTTACTGAATGTGCACTGTCCAACTGGAGCAGCCCTGCTGGTGAGAACATGGACTTTTCCGGAAAAAAGAAGAAACAGAATCACAACCTGCAACGATCTGCAGCGCACTGGGTTACAATCATGGAAAAATAGTTGGTAGCTAATATGGTAGCAAGATGATGTAACAAAATTATCTAAACGAACCCACACGTAAACGATCAATGCGACCAGCACTGAAATCGCTGCACTCTGCCATGATCTGGTCCAATCTGAACCAATGAAAAAATATATAGGCCTTCATCCGCCCAAGGTGTGCCCCAAAAAGCGAGCCAGATACGCCAATTGAAGGCTGTTGGCCTCCCAAGCAGTACATACCTCAAGAGTTCGAGTTACTCGAGCTTAGGTGACCGACTAATTACTTGTGCTATAGATGATTCAAAGGTGTTGGTCTTCAGAAAATAATTGTTG